CCTTAAGTTTTTTTTTTTTTTTTTTTTTTTTTTTTTTTTTTTTCATGATAGCTACGTGCACAGTGTATAGGTACACTCGGGAACAGCTTTTCCTTTTGTCTCTCCCCCGTTCGAAAAGTGTACAATCTAAAGGATTAAAAAAAAACAAAAATAAGGCAAAAAAAGAGCGCACCCAGGTGAGATGTTGGAAAGTGGACAAAACTAACCCACCCATCAGTAGCAGCTCATCAAAGTGCTACTCCAAATACCGCTCTGTTAGGGTTCTAGCGGGGAAGTCACAAGTGTGATGTAGAATGTGTCAAGAGACAGAGAGCCAAATTGGAATCGTTTTAAAACCTTTTTTCGAAACGTTCATTTTGTTAGAACCGCTTGAGATGATGTGCTAACCATTCCAAGGTGCTGGAAATGGGAATGCCACATGGGAAAAAAAAGGAAACCTTTTTGCTGCCTACCTGCTTAGTTGTAGAATGGTTCCCCGCATGCAGGTGGCGAGGCGGTAACTGAGTGTCATACGGGAAGATAATTCCCTACATACGCAGACGAAAATGCGTGTATGCGCATACGTGGCGGCACCGGGATGTTTACCCCAAATGAAAAAGGTCATTTCAAAAAAAAAAAAAAAAAAAACGCACGTCACGTATCTTCGTTCAAATCACCACATGCAAGTCATTTGCCAATTTTTTTTTTGTTTTTTGCATTATTGTGGTAAAGGGCATAGCAAATGGCAAAAAAAAATAATTGGCCAAGCATTAATACATAATAAGGACAAAGGCAAGTAATATTACATTACTAGGTTCTGTAGTGTAGTGGTTAGCACTGCAGACTCTGACTCTGCAAACCTGGGTTCGAATCCCAGCAGAACCTCTCGTATTGTTTTGTTATATAATTTTTATTTATTATGATTATTATTATTATATTATTGACGATATTGTGCTTGTGCCAGAATGAAATTATATTTTATTTTCCCCCTTACCAAAAATTATTTTAGCATATGCGGCGGGAAAAAAAATATCTCTTCTCAGCCATATTTTTATTTAACAAAATTCGTTCCTATTCCAGGGGCATGCGAAACACACGGTGACCCCACAGTTGGACGCATACGCCTACATATATTTATACACTCGCGTAGTATGTTTACTTTTTCCCCTTTTGAGTGAGGTATCCTCCAATCTCTTTTAACGCCTCAAAGGAGGGGAAAAAAAAAGAAGCACAAAATATCAAATTGGGGCGACTTTTTTTTTCCCTTTTTGTATTCCATCTTTGCGCATCATCGGTAGGAATAAAAAAATCTAAGATTGCATTTCTAAACTGTTTTGGAAGAAAAAAAAAAAAAAAAAAAACATCCTTTACTACATCTTTTTTGAAAATGAGAACATCCTGTCCGGGTCTTCTGATAGTTCAGGGTTTATGTTTATGTTTAGGGCAACCCGTTTTGTCCCTCTAAATGTCCCTTCTGCCGTTCGGGTGCCGCTGCCCACTTTTGCGAAGCTTCATTTGAGGGCGAAAAAGTCGAAAAAGACGAAAAAAGGGGAACCACTCCTTTTGTCACCACGCTCAAACGAAAGGGGAAGTATGCCAAACAGTAAACGCTCAAACGCATCCGTGCACCTTCCCAACAAAATGGAAAGACGATACCAATGCAGTGCCAGCCGTGAGGGGTAGACTTCCCCAAAATAGCATCATCCATTTTGTGAACAAAAATGGAAAGGTGGATTTTCCCATATGTAGAATTGCACAGCGCATGAGACGCCTCTCGGCTTCTCCAGGAGTGTGTGTGTGGGTAGGACCTAGGAACTAACTAGTTTAGCGGAACTAACTTTGTAAACCATCCTAGCAGGGTAGATAAGAAAACCTAACATGATAGGAAAAACAAATGCGAGAACAGGTGCGAACTGCCTTCGCCTCCTCTCAGTTCCCCTCGCATGCAAAGGAAAAAAAAAAAAAAAAAAAATGTGTACCGTGCTACAGTGAAAAAAAAAAAAAATAAATAATACGTAATAATCGCAAAGAAGCAGAAAAATATATTAGAAGTGATAACATGCTAATTCTAAAATGCTAGAAGCTTGAACGGGACAAATTTTAATTAAAAAAGTTAAGCACAGAATGCCCATCCCCCGGCTAGCCCCGCTTTTCTGTTTCTTCCCATTTCCTAATGTACCGCTCGCCCTACTAAATGAAGGAACACGAACGCGACGCGCCTGACACATTGCCTACCACACAGCTCGACGGAGAGCAGATCGCGTGACGCCGACCGGATCGCCTCTGACAAAGCGCAAATGAATCTTTACCTAAATGTGCTGCACGAAATAGAGGCGATTCTTCAAACGTGCAACGAAGACGTGTATCAAAAGGTTCGCAAAATAATCGAGTACATTCGAAAGAACTACAGGGAAGACCAGGAGGAGGTGGTCGCGCCGAAGAGAAGCAATGTTGCAAAGAAGAAGAGAGCCAATTCGAGGAGGCGAGATGAAAAAGACACGAGTGTTGCGAAGCAGCCGGAGAAACAACTGGCAACGAAGGTAGGAACGAAACTGACCACGAAACAGACGGCGAAACAGGCAGCAAAATTGACCGCCAAGCAGGGAGAAAACGCGAACAGTATAAAGAACTACTTCAAAGTAGTGAAGAGGGAACCTCCCTCTCCAAACCCGCATAATGCAGATACGCTAGCGGAGGATGTCAAGACGGAGGGATCGTGCGAAATGGAAAAGAAAAAAAACAAAAGCACTATTCCACTGATTAACACGTTTTTCTTCTACGGAAATTATAACATTATAATAATTATGTACTACATTATATGTAAAGTAAACCTTCATAATGAGGAGGACCTTTTTTCAAGTGAGAACCACCATGGGGGGGGAAGCCCAAATGGAGATGCCAAAGATTTCATAATTCATAGTAACAAAAGTGTTACACACATTATGTGTCCTCAACTGAAGGATAACGATGTGAAAGGATTGAACGAGCTGATGAAGGAAATTGGAAGGTACAAGTTAAACCGCCTTCACATATTCATTGTAGAAGCCTTTGACTCATTGAATTATCAATTTAGGAAAATGTTTATGGGCAAAATGAGCAAAAATAATAATAATATCATTTTCTTCCACAGCACTGTTTATTTGAATGATCTTCATTTGGACAATTGTCTATATGTGCGAATTCCCAAGCCAGACAAACTTTTATTCATTTCACATTTTTTACATTTGTGTGAAGATAAGTATAATATTGACATTCATCACAATAAGGACAGGAGGGACTACGTGGAAAATGTTATAAGCAGTTGCAACTACGACATTTCGCTCATACTCACCATGCTTTACTTTATTAAGCTTAATAATTTCCCGGAGTTAAAAAAAATTATTAAACTGATAGTCAACACAAATGTAAAAAAGCTAATTTGTATTATACACAAATGTGTCATTTCTAAAAATGCCCTCTTCATGATTAGAAATATTTTATATTCCATTTTATATACTTACAATTTTGACATGCACAATTTTTTGACTGTCTTTTGCAAACAATTGATTTCATTCCACAAAAATGATGATAATTATAAGAAGGAAATTTTTTCCTTGTTTTCAGAATATAGCTATTATGCTTCCTTACATGACAATAATATTTGTTCCTTGGAGAGCCTCGCTTCTAAAGTGATTCTCCTTGAACAAAAGTACATCACCACGTTGAACCCTAGTTACCTCACTTCCGAGGACAAGGACGAATTGAGTACTAGCTTTCAGTCCGAGCTCGAGTCACAGCAGCAAGCCCGGGAATCCACCTACACGGACCACACCACCCCGGGGGAGATCCTCCTGCCGCCGCAACCCTAACCCCTAACCGTAGCGCAAGTGCAGCGGTAAAAGCAGCCACCACCGCAATGGTAATCGCAACGACAATCGCAACGACAATCGCAACGACAATCGCAACTGCAACCGCAAATGGAACTTCTAACGAGGAGAACACTAAACAGAATTGACTAATTATTCAAACGGTTCACAAAATAGCCAAATGGAGGAAAAAAGAAAAAAAAAAAAACGCATTCATACATACATGCACACACAGGAGCGTGTACTTTAAAAACGTCTTCAGTCTTCACTTCAGCTCTTGCGCGAAGAGAAGGGCGAAGGAAAAATAGGATGACACGCTCGCCTCACACGAGCCATGCCTTCGTCGAATCCAATTAGAATACGCGCAAAGGGCGTTAAAAATATTGGGGGCATTCCTATCTGCGCAGACATATGAACACACATGCGCATGTAATGCCCCAAACGGATGCTCGCGTAAAGCGAGTTAGATTAATTTTTATTTTTTTATACAAAAAAAAAGATACACATTTTTGACACGCAAAAAATGCCCCTTTGTTTTTTCATTCCTTGTTTTGTGCCCACGAATTATGGGAGGCGCCTGCGTTGGAAGAAAAGCATGAAGAAGCACTACGGCTCACTTCTAACTTATAACTTCGCATATGGCACTTCACCCCGTGTGGCGCAGCAGAGCAGCATAAACACTCGCTTCTCCACCTAACTGCTAATATTTTCCAAGACTAATCATTTTCGTACGCCATTCGAATCTTCTTCTTGCCTACAAGTGGGGGGGAAAATGGAAGGGGAAATGTAAACCACATATGGTGTGAAAAGACAGGGGGCGGATATGCTCAGAAGCCATTCCTTCCTCCCCGTTGGGAGCATTCCATCAGAGCACGCAACACGCAACAGGCAGCAGCTGCATGAATGACATGCTCTCGCTTCCCCTGGTGTCTATAACACGTTTACATATTTGGCGCATGAATTTGCCTACCCTTCTTGCCGCCTGCCTTGGTGCTCCTCTTCTTCGTGAAGCTTCCATCGAACTCCTCCACTTCGTCTTCATCAAAGAGCTTCCCTTCCTCCTGGAGAGTCCTGATGTGATCGTCGTCCACGTACTCCTTCTCGAATTTCTGCTTCCTTTTCGCTTTCCTCGCTCGGGGCTCGTCCTCCACATGTTCATCCTCTTCCTCCTCATCGTCTTCCCCTTCTTCATCATCTTCATCATCGTCGTCTTCCTCATCGAATTCTTCTTCCTCTTCATCATCATCATCCTCATCATCCTCGTCTTCTTCCTCATCATCATCCTCGTCTTCTTCCTCATCATCATCCTCGTCTTCTTCCTCATCATCATCCTCGTGTTCTTCCTCTTCATCATCATTGTCTTCATCATCGTCCTCATCATCGTCGTCATCTTCTCCCTCATCGTCTTCGTCGTCATCATTCTCTTCTTCTTCTTCCTCCTCTTCCTCCTGCTTCTCTAGCTGCTGCTTCTTCTTCTTCTTCACGCGTTGCGTGTCCTCCACCTCGTCGAACAGCTTGGCCAACTCGGAGTCCTTATTTTTAACCTTCTTTTTTGGGGTCAAGAATTTATACAAATTACCATACACCCCACTATTGAGCCGGTTGAGCAATTCTTTTTCAACATTATTTAAAATGTTTGCTGCTTTAAGAGCTTTATTTTCTCGGGTCCTATCCCTTCTTTCTGTTTTCTTTTTAATGGGAACCAATTTTACTTGTTTTTGCAAAATTAATTTTCTACTTCGTTTTAAAATCTCTTTCATGCGTACATATCTCTTCATGCATTTTTTTATTTGTTTTATATTGTGGGTGTATTTCATTTCTTTATAAATAGCATTGAATGCTTCCTTTTTGTTTTGACTTAGTTGGAGTCTGGTCCAGAGGGAGCTCGGAAGGTGGGCCCTCTCCGGGTACTTTAAGTATAAATAAATTTCTCCCTTTTCTAGGATGACTGTTCCGTAGACACTATTACTTAGAGGACAGTTCACTTTAGTACATAGACCTGTAACATTATATTCATTCATGCAGAACATTTGCGTCTGCGTTTTTTTCTTAAATGAGCATTTTCCCTTGCCCAGGATTTCCCACGTTATCGTGTCGTCATTCATTTTGGCTTCTCTTTCTTCAAGCGGTGTAACGTGACAAAAAAATTGCAAATCAGTTTCTTCTTTTTCTTCTTCGCCCCAGCTTTCAAGCGCTACCCACACGTGGTGAAACGGACGAGCGCACGCAAAACGGTAGATTCGTCCTACCTCTCTTTTGTTGCAGCATGCGATATGGATGCGTAATCTATATTTATGTATAGATTAGCTGGTGACAAATTATTTCCATCTCATAATTAGATACATATTATGGCTTGGGGTCCACACGACGGATTCGCTTTTTTTTTTTTTTTCTTCTCGTTTATTCCCTTTTATAATAGTTAATTACGTCCGTTTAAAAACAGTGCCCTCTTGAACAAGAGCACAACTTGGGGGGCATGACTGTGGTCTCTACCAATCTTAGAAGGTGCCATTCGCCCACAGGAATATGTTTTGTATGTTGTATCTTTATATGCGCGCCTTCTACAGTAGTAACTCTGTATTGGTATATACAAACCTTTCACTTTTTTTTTTTTTTTTTTTTCCTCTTTGAAAAAAATGCTCATCTCCTTTATGAAGGCGCATTTATTTCTTTATTTTTTCCCCAGCAAAAAACAAATCGCGAGCTCGGGATTACCCATTCATAGTGCAGTGTTACATAAAAATAAAATATTGCGCTTTTTTATTTTTAGTACATCTATAAAATATGCACCGCGCAATTTCCTGTTGCTTCTTTTTTTATCAACCTGGGGGGAGAACAAAAATACCTCAGTGCTTTCAGAAATGAACTTGTACAAAAAATCTACATAGGAATTTATGTACCACTGGGGGAAAGGCGGCTTTTTTTTTTTTTTTTCCTGGCCAGTTGGGAAGAATACAATTTGAATTCTCCGTTGCAGGTTGAAGGGATGCGAGACTGCAGCTTAACACTACCAATTGAGGAAAGCAAAATTTGGTGCCACCCCTTTGACGGGGGTGAGTCGGAAATTTTTTCCGCGTTACAAAATGGCGTTTTTTTTTTTCACGTGGGCGCAAAGAACTAAAAATGATGCGTAAAACTTAAAGGCGTGTTATAATACCAGTGGCATATTTCCAAATGGCCTACATGTAGAGGGGCGTACTGCAGATACGTGTACGGTGTTGCCCCGCTTGGCTGATATGTCTCATTTGCAATGTCGCTTGAGAGTAAATCGAAAAAGACAAAATCGCAAAATGTTCACAGGGGGGTGTTGCCATCTATAACTGCATTTTACCAAACGGGTTGAAAATTTTTAATTATATATAAAAAAAAAAGTACACCAAAAAGAAGAACAACATACGCGACGTGACCCCTAAATGTAAGCTTGTAAGTGTGAACAACCGCGCGCTATTACTAAGAAGTCGTGACTTAGGCAGCGCCTCCGCCCCCTCCTCATGGTTATTTTAAAATTGAGCTTTCATTCAGTTGGCAAACAAAATAAATAAGCATGTAAGGAATATAACACATGCGATTGAGCAAAATTACGAATTAAAAAAAAAAAAAATGAAAAAAAAAAAAAAACGAATTCGCGCATTCATTTGAGTGTCTGTGCACATGTGCACTTGTTTAATTCTGTTTTTTTTTTTTTTTTTTTTTGTTTACCACATGCAAAGTGGCTAAAATGTGTGGCGACAAAGAGCAACAACGTGAAGTAGAGAAGCTAACGCGAGTGGTCGTTCATACAAAGGAGCATGTACACACGTTACAACTCTGTGCAGATTAATTTGACATTGATTAATTTATCATGTGCTATCGCACGGGGGGGGGGACAAAAAAAAAGCCAATGGGACAGTTATAAAAATGCGAATTCGCAGTAATGACGAAATGGGATGTGGTTTGTTAGGGGCACGCGGAAAATTGGATCGTCTCCTACCTCTATCTATACACCGCATGTGCTCAGTCACGTGTGTCTACTGCAATTATCCGATCGCTTCTCAATCTTCGCCTTCTTCGCGGAACCCTTCTGCCGTTGATAATTTTGTTTTCTCTTAATTCTGCGTGAAATTTTTTCTGGATCTTCTTCGGGGAGTCCAAATACCCTCAACAAACTTGCGCGCACGCATTCAGGACAGTTCTGCAATTTTTGTGAAGAGGTATATTATGAACAGCGGGCGAAGGAAAGCGCACAAGCAAACAGGAACTCCGTGTTTTTTCCTCAACAAATGACTCTGTGTGATAGCCCGCTCTGTGTGTGCATAACAGCAGATCGCCTCTCTTCCCCTGGACACAAACTTACCCTAACATTCTTTTCGCTCTTTATTTCCGACTCGTTAATTTTGGGGTAGTTCCTTAAAATTCGAATGAAGCCTTTATCGTCCCCGCATATGATGGTCTGAGGAAAAATTAAAACAAAAAATTTTTTTGCGCTCACAAATGTGTACTCTGTTGTCGTTTCCATGTAGAGGTGAAAATAAAGCGACAGGTTCTCTCCTAAAGGTATAAGTTTGGTAATCCACGTGGACGTATATCCGTCTAGTCGCCTGCACAGGATTGTACTGCACCCCACCCGTGACCACTTCTCCACTGCGCGAAATGGCCATACCGTCATGGAGCTATTCGAGGCAAGGACCTCCACGGAATTCCCACACACACTCTCAGATGTATAATTCAGAAATTCGCCGTCACGTAACGAAAAAAATAAAAGGGCACCAAAATCAAAACTTTCCCCACTTATATTATTCTTTAATTTTTCATCTTGGATATTATTTTTTAGTATTCTGGTTTTAAATATTTCGCTTCTGTCCCTTGTACTCATGCGCATGTTTCTCGTGGCGATATCGCGTGCCTCTGCTCTCGTCGTGTTCGCACAATCTGAATAATTGAAAAAGCTTTCACACAGCCTTATCCGCTGTAGTCTGCTCGAGCTGTATAGGCACAGGATCTCCGCCATCAAGCTGTGGTTGCACAAGTCCGGGTCTCTCAAACCTGCCAACAGGGGGGCAGAAAAAAAAAAAACATGGGGCGGGAGCCACGAGGTGCGTTTGGGATGTAACAATGTAATGCACATAGGTGGATGTAGATGTGTACGGACAAGCAGGATATGATATTTGTCCCCTTTTCAAAGGGTGGAGAAGAAAACACACCTGGGACATGAATGGCATACATCTTCTTCAGAACACTTGCGTCCAACTCCCAAAATTCTATCAAGTCCCACGATATTGTAAAGAACTTTTTGCTTATCTGGGGAGGGGGAGGAATATAAAAAAAAAAATAAATAAATAAATAATTCCACACCCTGCTACATTACACGTAGGTTATATCTACCCACAAATTAAAAACAAAATTGTTCGATCTTCTTTTAACACTTGACACGAAATTTTTTAAAGCACAATGTACTCTCGCAACGCGCGCATGCTCGCATTTATGTGTGTGTGTATATCCATGCGTGCAAATATGTATATGAACTTCACCTGGTTGTGGTACACCTTTCCATTTATGGGGGATGGATGCTAAAGGAAGATGTGAACGGGGACAAAAATTCGTATAAGCAGCGTCTTATGGGAAAGAGAAAAAAACTGCAACAGGGATAGGGGAACATACAGGTTAGGGCTGCGCTCGGCATGCCACCTTGCGTAATCACCTCTCCCCAACAGACACCCCCCCTGCACATGTACTCATTCCAATTCCTTACATCGTAAAATACAAAAGCCGTGGGCTGGAACGTGTATGTGTTTTTAACCTTCTGTCTTGTCTTCTTCAACAAGTCGTAAATGCGTAGCGAGGATCCCTCCTGCTTTATCTAAAAAGGTAAAAAAAAAAAAGGAGCGGTCCGTGTTTGTCCATATGATGCCAACACAAACGGAGTGAAGTTCAGAAAAAGCACTAAGCACATGGAAGGGATGGACAATTCAAATAATAGAAATATAAACCTTCTGTAGATATATATGTGACGGTAGTGGCCACACCAGCCGCCACCCACTCGAGCGCATTACCAATAGCTTCGAAATGAGCAGCTCCAGGAATTGCATTTCCTTTCTTGGCAAAATCGATATGGTCGTTTCGACCTGTTGTGGAAGGTAAAAAAGGAGTAGGGAAAAGATTTCCAATTTAGCATTCCCCATGTAGCACTCCAATTTTTTGAGCATACAACCAAGTATATATACACATGCAGAGAAGTGTGAATTTCCCGAAAGGCATAACATCGGGACATACAAGTCTCTCTCCATTCTCTATGTCAAACAAGGCCAAAGGAATGGTGTTATTTATGGGTTGCTTAAACATGGCCACCAATCCGTCCGAAACTCTGCAAAAAAAAAAAAAAAAGAAGAAGAAGAAGTATGAGGTGCTGTTTTCCTTTTTAATGATGGGTGGGAGGAAGTATACATAAAACAGTGCAATTCTATGCCTATGTCGATATGTTGTTTTTTTGTTTCCCTTTTGGGGCATGCACATATTTCTTCACATTGCATCCCGCCTGCTATATATGCACACATGTGTGTTCACCACAGATGCACAGGATGACATAAAGAAACAGCTCCCCCACGTTTTACCCACCTGATTTCCTGAAATTCTTCTTCTATTTCAAACACCTGCTCATATGTCCGCATGTCCCAAAAGGTGTACGAGTTGGTGTTTAGGTTAGCAGCTCCTATTCGTCCGTTTGTCTCTTCGAGGGGGAGGACAAAAATGGAGTCGCCATAAGAACATGAATCCGCTTGTTTTCGTAGGTAGAGGAGGCAACATAAAAATGCGTTGTAAGCGTGTCTCCACCTTCATCCATGTACGCATCCACGCCCCACATGGGTATGGCCAAACCCACGCTCATCGAGACGTCCTGTTCCCATGTTCGTACCGCAGAATTCAAAGAAGGCAGGGTGACTCAGAATGACCTTTTCTGTAAAGGGGAAAAAAAAAAATTTAAACAAGGGAGGTTTGGGGGCATGCACCTCTGCGATATGTTTTTCGCTCCCCATTTTGCTTCCCGCCGTGGTCGTGAAGACAGGGGGTTACCGAACAGGGTGCCAAGTTTAGACGAGTCCGTTCTTCCTATCCTCAGGTCCTGTTGGCGGGGGAAAAAAAAAAAAAAAAAAAAAAAAAACAATCGGCATGTAACTACACAATTTGCCACACATGGATATAATGTCGCCAGATCTCATCGTTAGTGAGCACGCTTGTCTACTCTCCCACTTACACAGCAATCGATCACTTTGCACTGCAGGTGTGCCGGGAAAGACGCGTACGCCACGATCAGGGTATTGTTGTACGAATTGTGGACAATGGTATGGACGACTGAATAACTGCTCGGGTTAATTTCGCACAAGAATTTCCCATTCACGACATCATAAGCCCTAGATATTCCAGAAATTAACAAAACAACGATCACATCGTTCGCCAAAACGATTTCCTTAATTGGAGACCGTTCAACCCCAAAGCTATTAACAGGCATGTTCTCATATATGTCAATTATTTTTATCGTCTTGTAATTGCAGCATATGTTTTTCTGAATCACTTTGCTTTTATTTATTTTCGAGGACAAACTTCTTGGAATATTATTTCCATATTTTTTGCGTTCCTTCATATACTCCAACATTTGCGAAACAAATCAAGTCTTATAAAAAAAAGAAGAAGCAAAGGGGAAAAGGAAAAGGAACAGGAGAGATAGGAAAATTGGTTTATAAGGAAATAAAAAAGGGGAGTAATACATACGACAAGGGGTAGATTAATGTATGTGGGAGTGGTTATATAACGATGCACCACTCATTCGAAATATGCCTCCCTGGGTGAAAGCTCCCCATATATATGTATATATATATGTATATGCGTGTGATGCTATTCGAAGCTAAGACAACGCTGTTGTGGGGAAGTGGGGACAGAGAGGAGGTTGCACAGACTGCAGCGTGTCCTTGCGAGTCGTTATTGTTTGTCTATCCGGAAACAATTCAGACGCGAAGAGGTGGAGACGGGAAGAAGTGCAGAAACGAAGAAATGAAGAAACGAAAAAACGAAAAAACGAACAAAAAGAATAGGACATTTCCACGTGCCCCAAAGGAACATACCCACGGTACCACAAATGAACCACGTAGAACAAACAAATAATTTCACAAAAACATTCTTGTGACATAAAATACTTTAAAATGACAATTAAAAATTAAGGCCAACATTAAAAAGGAGGGGGCGCTGTCGCGTGAATATAAAAGCCATGGTGCGCAAGTAAACCACCCTGGCGCATGCTCTCATTTATGCGTGCAGGTGGCACACTGGCGGTTTTGCATGCAGGTATGCGTACATACAACCGCGTAAGCCTGGGGGCGACTTGCGTAAAACACCACAGGGGGGACACGCCAAAAAAAAAAAAAAAAAACAAAGCAAGGACAACCCCACAGATAATTAACAATTGGTGGCTTCAAAAAAAAAAAAAAAAGAGTTGTACAACTGCGCAAACATAGAAAGGTGGGGGGGTTATGTCCCCTCAAATAAATTGGGGACGAGCAAAACGAAATATATTTGTGCATAGAGATAGCAGCACAAAGTACACCCACATGTTGACATTAAATATACACACTCATGACCTCCTTCAGGGGTGTTAGAACCAAAAGTGTACTCCCTACGTGGGGGCACGTTTGACGGAAGGAGGGTTACGAAGTGCATGCGTGTTGTGCATACATATGCGCACGTGTGTTCACGCTGAAAGAATAACTGGGCTACTATGTTTTTATTATCTACACAGGAGGACAGTCATCTGCGTTTTCTTTATTTATTTCTCTTTCATTCATTCCTTTTTTTTTTTTTTTTTAAGCAATACATGCATCCTATCTTGTCCTGTAATAATCATCTCTAAGAGGTTTTTTTTCATGTATCATTTTTTTTTTTTTATGCTTTTTTTATAGACACACTTTCTTTTTCCTATTACGTTGTTTTGCTTGAGGAAGACCAAATGAGTGCGAAAAAACGGAAAAAAAACAAGGCAGCACATTTCAACATAGCCTATTCGTGTGTACGTACTTTAAAATAAAAAAAGAGAATCTGACAAAATAACGTTTCATAATGAGCAGGCAATTCCCAATCTGAACAGAACAAACCAAACATTTTTTTTTTTTTTTTTTTATTTCTCCCCCCTTTAAGCAGCGAAATGAAGAGGTGATTTAATAATAGTGCGGACAAGAATACAACACCCCAGTGAGGATGTACCATGCTCCCAACGGAGGTGTCCTCATAAGCCCATTAACCGCTTCGCTTCACTATTCAACGGAAGTGCCTCTCAACCCCGCGCAGACATTGCGCTTGACGTGGCCACTGCAAATGCGAAAAAAGCTCCACCCCATACATGTGTAGCCATTTTGCGCCCATCAAAAGGAGAAAAAAAAAAAAAAAAAACAGCAATTCCCAATTGACACACCCGAGTGAATATATTCAAACGTAGAATCACACGGAGGGTGATAACACGATGGTACATCCAACAGAGGGAACAAAAAAAAAAAAAGAAAAAAAAAAATTGCCACTGAAACAATGACAAGCGAAGAAAAGGCCACACGAAAGAACACAAAATGAATAGGTCACTTGGGGCCATTATCATACTTACCATAAAATTGTGCATACTATGGGCTGTTGACCGAAGTTGTAGTGCCAGTAGTGGTGACCACATGAGGATAAACTGGAAGGAAAGAAGAAAAAGGACCCCACTGCAGGTTTTCCCCTCAGAAAGAAAAAAACATTCAACGCATAAATGTGCACACAGAAAAGAAATGTACATATGGAGCCTCGCCCAACACACAAAAGGGGAGAAGAGTAAAAGAAACATACCCACTTACAAATGCATGAAACTGAATGCTGCTAGAAAAAAAATAAATGCAACGGAGACACAAAAAGAATGTAACACACAAAATGACTTGGAAACCTTTTTAATAGTAGACGGGTCTTCCATTTTATTTAAAAATTTTTTCGGAATGCCATACTTGAAAAATGAAAGTGAAATAAATTTAAGTACAATATATGGTTTTATCCAATCATTAAATAAAGTGTACAAATTGTTTTGTCCATCCTACGTGGTGATCGTTTTTGACTCCAAGACATCAAATGATGAAAAAAAAAAAATTTACGCAAAGTATAAAATTATGAGAAAGAAAAATCCTGAAGAATTGTATGAACAACTCAAACTAGTGAGCGATTTTTGTGACCTGATTGGAATTAAAACTGTTAACTCCACGGATGTAGAAAGTGATAACTACATTGCAGGCATTGTGGATAGTATCAATAATACACTTAGGGAAGGAAATACTCCGTACTATTCCTCAACAAATGGTGCAGAAATGGCTACACAAAAAAAATTCAGAGTGATTGTCGTCTCGAGTGATAAAGACCTCCTGCAGCTTCTCGAATACAATGATGATTCTCACAACAACATGAATATAACCATATGCCAACCGAATAGAAAATACAGACTGGTTGACGCCAGTACGTTTGTCCAGGAGCATAATTTATTGCCTGCTCAATACAGTGATTACCTCATAATGGCTGGAGACAAAACGGATGGAATTGCGGGGATCCCAAATATAGGTGATAAGACTAGCAAGTATTTGCTTAAACAATTTCACACCATTGATAATATTTTGAAGAACCTACATAACCTTCCTGAAAAATTGCATGCAATTTTCCTTAACAATGTAGAAAATATTAACATGTTCAGAAAACTTATAAAGCTCAAATGTGAGACGCACCAGTCGTTGGTGTTAAGTCAGTACAGACAGGGCAGCATCAAGGACTTTGAGCGATTTCAAACTATCTTGGACAAATATTCCCTTCACAAGTTGATAAAAAAAACGGTCCTTGTGAATTACGACGGGGCGAAGGCGTAAGGGGGAGGGAGCGGCCTGCGCTTAACATGCGCGTGTGTAATGATGTGTAGTGATCGTCCTGTGCTGGAATTTTTTTTTTTTCCGCTCCCGCGCTCCCCGCGAATTCCCCCTTTGGCGCCTTTTTTTTCGTTTTTTTGTTTTTTTTTTTTTTTTTTTTTGTGTAATGTTCATGGCGCACGCGCCGCACCTATCACATTCCCCCCTCATTTGGGCACCCCCCTCTTGGTGTAAAAGTGTCCACATAGGTACACGTTCTTCCGCTCATTTTGGCTCGATTTGGCTATACTTGCCTCGCGTTTTTTTTACACCTCCCCTTTCCCCTTTACAAAAGCAAACTATGGTAAATGTGCCATTCGTTTTTGTGCCCTGTACACACATATAGACGAGCACTCCGCACATCCCATTGAGATACCGGAGGGTATTTATCCTTCCTTCTCCTCCTAGCTGCTTCGCGAGCAGTTCTGCTGGGCATTCCAGCGTAATGGCATAATTGGAGTTATGCTGTATGAGACAGAGGCACTGATTGTTTTTTTCCCTGCATAGTCAGCTATTCGTATGCATACCCGTGAGGTACGGATTACGCACAGACTACACACTGTCCACCCACGGTGAATCTGTTTGCCTCACCCTGCACTCGTTCCTCTCTACACATTGCGGTGTACTTCTTCCTAATTGACATGGACCACTTCTGACTCTCTTTAGCGTGGACCCTGTAGACTAAGTAGGCTGGTTTGTCTTCGCACTTGTTCATGCGGCTAGGGGTGTTACAGGTCACATACGACCACGTGGGATGTTCATCCTTCCTCCGCTGCCCCATTTCGTTACCCCATTTCGCTGCCCCATTTCGCTGCCCCATTTCGCTGCCCCATTTCGCTGCCCCATTTCGCTG